AAGGGTATCATTCCTGGGCTACATAAAATCCAGTTGCAGCATTTTGTTCTTTCTGTCATTTAGTGATCATTCAGAAGATAGATAGATAGATAGATAGAGATAGATAGATAGATAGATAGATAGATAGATAGATAGAGATTGATTGATTGATTGATTGATTGATTGATCGATCAATCTTATTACAGTCCTTCCATACAGGTGCAGGTATGGTAGGCTTGAAATGCAGTTCCCTTAAAACGTGAGTGGCCCTTTTAAATTTGGCTTTCATTTAAATTCATGTAGGGTTTTTATATTGTTAAGGATAACGTTTTGGGGGCTGCGAGGTTATTTTAATGCTTGGAAGTTTAGTGTGATTTCAGTTGTGATTTTCATGAGGAAAGTTGCTCTGCGTACCATGAGGAGTGGGTCAGGGGAGAAATACATAAATAGCAAAGCTAAGCACCCCCCCCCTGAAAACGATCAAATCTCTTTTTTCAAATCAAGGGAGGCGAAAACCTGGAGATGTTTGTCCATTGTGGTACAAGAACTGAACAATAGCTCTGTTAGGGGTGTAATATTAATAAAGTTCAGTGCTTCTGACCATGTGCAGAGTACATCCATATTTTATTACTTGGGATTAAGAGGAATAGCAAATGTTAGGGTTGGGGTGATGTAAGATTGGGTACTGAGATCTGGAGCAGGGGGGATTTCATTCAATATGGCTTTGATGATCTTATGGACAGTGCTCATGTATTAATTACGATGTTACTTTATTCTATCGCAAAGTGCTTGGAAAATTCTGCATTTTTAAAAGTTGGTGATAGACTTGTACGTATATATTTATTTATTAAATTTGTATGGTTGACCATCTCAAATGCGATGGTCAACTCTGGGCCACTAACAATTAAAAACAAAATAAGAACAATGAGATAAAAGTAAATAAAATAACATAAAACAGCAGCTGGGCAGCCTCACATTACAAACATCTACTATCAATACAGCCAAATGGGCTGTATCGGTAGCAGGACTGGGGTTATAAGGACTAGAAATATGCCTATATATAAAATGTGTGCATGTGTGTGGTGTGTATGTACACACACACACACACACTTAGATATAAATGAAAGGACAGACTCTAGGAACACCAGTGTCTAGAGCCTATACAAAATATTTGGGTAATATTTAAAGCAAATATTTAAAGAGCTGCCATTGGCGATTGAGGAAAATGACATCTACTTAGCTTACATTTAAACTAAAAGTGAGAACTTACTAGTGGTGCAAGCTTTTGATCAGAAAAAGAGACTTTCGTGGCAGAGTCATTTTTACTATAGGTTTTTAAAGCATGGACAGACGGTCTTTACCAGGGTTGCAGATCTGGCCAAATGATGTCTTTCCCAGTCGATGTAGAAATGTTGGAATGGCCTGAACGCCAGCCTTTCAAGCCCCCTCACATCTCCTCTTTAATTTGTCCCAGGCAATGTCTGCCTCAGTGTTTCCATCTGTAAAATGGGCACTGTTGTTACCTTATATCCAGGAGGTCATCAGTTAGACAGAGTGCCACAGAGAAAAATTTATCCTTATGGCCCGTACCATTTTGACCCAGAGCAAAAAGTGCTCGCAAAGCAATGGTATTAAATTCCAGTGAAGTGACTGTAAATGACCTCTTCCTTCTCTCCATCCAGCGTGGCTGTCAGCTGCACTGAGGACATCCCACACTTCGGGCCTTGCATTCCGGCCGAGAACTCCTTCGTCAAGGGCCCGGCCTTCCGGGACCTTCTGCTTGCCAAGGTGATCAACGCAGAAAATGCGGCCGAGCGGTCGGGCAAGTTCCACGCCATGGCAACCCGGACGCGCCAGGAGTACCTACGTGACCTGGCTCTCAACCACGTCACCACCAGCACGTTGGAGGCATCCACCTCCCGCCGGCCCCTTATCACTTTGCCAGCGGCCAAGAAGCGTGAAAAGTCTAAGGTGCCCAAGGGGGCAGAAGCCCACAGCGCAGGCGCTTTGGTGTGGGGTGTGTGGGCCCGGGACGGGAGCACAGAGCCCAACAGCAAGACTCTGGAGCTCCGGTGCCTGCTGGGCATCTCATCGGAGTTTCTCGTCCTCATTGATGCCCGTGAGAAGAGAGTGATTTTTAACTGTTCGTGCCGGGACATCTTAGCTTGGACTTTTTCTGAGAATTGCACGCTGGACCTTTATTATGAGACCGGGGATTACATTTGCATGCGCGTGGACGAGGGCCAGGCAGCCGACATTCGCGATATCGTCCACCGGCTTCAAGTAGGATGTGGCTTGCTTTTTTCCCTTTCTTGGAACTCATTCTGAGTGCGAGAGTGCGAAACGTTGCCCCTTCCGGAATATTAGACATGGGTGGGCTTACTGTTCTTCCTGTTGGGAGGGACTGCACTCTTCACATGTTCAGAGGTGATCTGGTCATTATTATTACTTAGAAAGCTTTAATTTCTGTTTGAGGATGCCATTCATAAGGACCAGCAGCTTGTCCGGTGGATATCCAGGAGGATAATCATGGACTGTGTGTATGCTAAACCCCAGAATCCCTAGATGAGAGAGATTTTTCTCCCATTTCTATCAACTTTTGAATCATTTCTTCACCTGGGCCATATTTCCACACCTGCTGGAAATCTGCTATTCTGAATATTTGATCTTAGAAGGCAACAAAACTAGCTGTCCACGGGTGGGTTTAAAAGCCAAACAGGGCTGGGAGTGGTTTGCGCTTGGAAGGGAGCCACAAGAAGATCCCTGGGGTGGAACTAAAATTGGCAAGTGGAAAATAAACATCCAGTCGGAGGGCAACCGCAAACCATTTCGGTACAGTTGCCGAGAAAATTACAGACACGTGGCCATGAAGTCACCAGAGATAAGCTCAACTTGGAGTCTGCTTTATTTTTATATTTTACCTGTTTTGATGCTTTTGCGGTATCTGAGATAGAGCCTTTGGCAGAAAAGTCCCTTAAAAATGGTTAAAGATTTATTTGTTAAATTTATTTCCCACCTTTGTTATGTATAATCTAGACCAGTGTTTCTCAACCTGAAGCAACTTTAAGATGTGTGGACTTCAACGCCCAGAATTCCCTAGCCAGGGAAATTTTGGTGTTTAAGTCCACACATCTTAAAGTTGCTTCAGGTTGAGAAACACT